CGGATGTCGCGACGGCGCCACAGATGTCTCAAGTTGGCAAATGCCAATCGAGCCTTCTGTAGGCGAGGTGACACTTCATCCGCGATGCGTCAACCAGGTGGGATGTAGGTGCCCAAGTAACAACTTATCCACTTGCTCTATTACTTCCCCAGTTAGTATGAGTCGTGGTGCTAGACTAATCCAGTCACGAAGAAGTATTTTACACTGTGAAGGTGTTAACCGTATGCCAAACTTGGTGTTCAGAAAAGCTTGCAATCTACCTGGATCTCCCCTTAGTAGCATTATGTCGTCTGCATACTCAATATCAGAAGGCCTGCCACCTGGATGTAAATCGATGCCACTTTTTTCGCTCTCCGACGCGGTCGTTCTGGTCCACTAGTACCCCACCAATGAGTGTGGATCGACGCTGGACAACCCTTCAATACGCAGTGCCGCTAGTTTAGACCGTCGTGGCCATACAGGCCGAGTTGTAAAACACTTTTTTCCNGATCCAAGGAGACCGCGGGTACAATGGTCTGCACCGCTAAGGGTAAACTCAGAAAGAGTTTGAGATACGACCGAGAAGATCGGTGGTTGCTACATGCAAAGGAGTTGAAATCAGCAGCTAGGTATTTTAATACCCGGTAATAGCTCCAACTCATCCGTGCTACTTGTTCCAAAAGGTGGTGCTGTACTGGAACAATCTGCGAAGTATACTACAGGCTAATGTACAATCTTTACCAACGCTTTGGAGGCTGGGCGGATCACTTCAAATCGCGATTTTACCAGCCTACCGCACTGTATACTCCAAGTGGTTCTCTTGAGAGTGCACCCTATCTTTTTTCCCGGAATCGCCCACAGAAGCAGAGAGCCAATAGGAAATCCAAGCCGTCTGGATCAGACAACGTACCACTGGTCCTCTTTAGAAATGGTGAAGAAGCTTTCATGCAAGAGCTTGCCAAACTGTTTTGGAAGATCTGGGAGATCGAAACTTTACCCCAGATTCGGGGTGAAGAGCAGGCCGGGTTTCGTGCATGCCCTAGTTGCATACCTCCTCATCTTTGTTCAGCTGCTAGAACGCCACCACCCACATAGTCGACCAACTTTTGTCGTGTTCTTAGACATCAGAACGGTTTTTGACTCGACTAATCGTCCTGTGCTGTTACTGTTGGTGGAGATATGGGGTGCACGAGAAGTGTGTACTGCTTCTAAAAACACTACCGTCAGACCTCGGGGAATGCTAGGGCCTGTGGTGAACTCACTCTCATTTCGTTTCACGAGTGGGGTACGACAGTGTTGCTCAATCTCTCCTTTCCTCTTCAACTTTGCCATAGGTGATGTTCTGTTAAAGGCGCTACTCTATGTAATGAACGCTGGCGTCAAGCTTTTTCCTGGATATAGAACCGTAGACTTGGGGTATGCCGATGATATTGCCTTACTTGGTGCTAGCACACAGGCGATGAAAAACACGCTGCA